GATGACGAGATTTTTTCCTTTTTACCGCTGCTGACAGCAATTCACCTGATAAATAGTTCAGAGGCTTTGAACATGAGCAAAGTGGTGCACTGGGCACTGCACACCTAACAACAGATCCAGCCACAACAGACCCCATTCAGAAAACGATCCCTGGTCAGAACCTGTTTTACTAGAAATGCTTTCCTCTTTTTTTTTTCCTTTTATTTTTTTAAATTCTTATCTGCTTGGGCAGAAGAAAAGCCTGCTTGCTACTTTGGCTCTGAACTGTCACTTAACTTTGGGAAACTGATTACTTCATGAGGACAGCAAGTTATTGTCACTTTTGTCACATCTACCAAAAAAAAGAAAGTGTTGGCTAAAACCCAGAGTCCTGACCTCATCACTGAACTGCTGTCATCAATGGCAAGTTAATGTATTCCTGTCTGCCATTGGTCCTGATATTCCTGATTCTGAAATTTGACATACATTTAACATGTGCCCATCTCCAGTAATAGGTCAGCAAACATTCAGCTCTGCCTCCATATTTGTAACAGGTTGAGGAATGAGGGTCCAGGCTTCCTCCTAGCAAAGGGTGGCCAGAACACTCTTCCTACAAATGTTTGTTTCTACAGATGTTTCTGTCTGCCTCTGTCGGTGGCATTTTTACTTCTTTGCAGCTTTCCTCATTAAAGGCATTGTAAATTACTTCTTCCAAAATAATCAAGTGCATTTCTGTATAGTAAGGGGCTTTGGTCGCTCTCTCCCTACAGTGCCTTCCAAACTGCTACGTAAATGTGATTGTGGCCGTGTAATCTGTGTACCTGGAAATATAATTCGTTTTGTTGCTAATGAAGGTCCTACGGCACAAATTTATTAAAGGTATACTTTTCCATGGGATAATAATTGGGTCGATAATATTAAACTCATAGGCTCATTATTTAATTGCAAGGGCAGATTATGAATACAGCTTCTAAAATGTATTTTAATGAAAAACACTACATCCTGACCTAATCATATCAACCTTATGCTATCTAATTAAGGATGCAAAAAATCATTAGAGTTGCAAAATATTAGTTCCAGCTCCATCAGGCTGCTAGCTGGCCCTTCATGAATATATATATTTTTTTACTCTGTGATAAATAGTTAATGAGGTAAAAATGACAAAATTTGCATGTAGGCAAATTAGTTTAATAGAGTGATGTCTTCCTGGTCTACAGAAAGTGACCTTTTTCCTATCAAAAGAATGACTAAAAATACTTTGAAATGATGGCATGGATGTCATTCCACAAATGACAAATCGCTTCTCTGAACAATATAAAAATTATAAAATGCAATAACCTTAAATTCTCATCATACTGTAAATGTGTCCTCTGCTGCTGCATTTATCAATTTAATAAAAGGAAATTAAGCATATTATAAAATACCCATTTATGGAGCAATTTTTAATCCAGGGAATAAAAATGAGAAGCACATGGTTAATAGCAAGAAAATATTGCAAAAACGTAGACCTATTTTTTCCAGAAGGTTTGACTGACTATTTACTTGAATGACCTCCATTTAAAATATATTTTTTATATGGAGTGATGTAAGATATGGCAGTCTCATGCTTCCCTTTATAAAAATTGCTCACAGTTAATTTGGTATCTTATTTAAAAATTAACACATTAATAATGTACGCAATAAGGCCTAGTGATGTGTCTTCCATACTGATTACTTTGTACAATTAGACATACAAAAAGAAAGGGACAAGATAAATACCTTATGCAAATTCATGGCAGAAAAAAGGGTCTTTTAGTATCTGCAATGCCTAGGAGCATAAAAGACCTGAAAACATAGTTCATAGTCTTGCAGGGAGATGCTCCATGTGGAGAACATATTTCTGGAAGGGAGCAAGTTTTTATTACAAAACCGGATTTGCCAAAGAGCTAACGACATTTGGTTTGATGGTTCTCTTTTCCATCAAAATAACATAAACAAGAAATTGGAGTAGAAGGGGACGATTTCAGGTTTCTGAAGAACACTGGTTGTATTTTCACAGTATTCATGTTTCGTACAGATAGCTTGGGAGTTTTGGACAGTCGTGTCCACTCACAAATTTTCCTTATTGTGAGGCAGATCCTGTGCCCAGTGAAGTAAATGATAGAGACCTGACTGATGCCAGGGATGCAAATTTCTGCACGCTTTCTGCATTATTCCTATCTCCTTATATCGTACAGTCTGCACCAGTATGTCCCATAGAGAATGGGAACGTTTAACACTGTCACAGCCTGACATTTGGTTAGGGCTGATATAAAGGAAAAGGCATGAAATTCGTGCAGATGTAGACAGAATAGGAATCAGAAACTTGGGGACTGAGGGAAAGACAAAAGCGTGCATCACTCCACTTTGCCGAACGAAGTGCGCAGTGCTCCCTAGGCAGCACAGGGGAGTCCTCCCTCTACTCTGACCGCACTCTCCCTCCTGCTGGATCTGGCTGAGGCTGGGTCTATTTTAAAGGATCTCAGAGTAAGATCAGGTACTCACATTTCAATATGGCATTTCATACATGCCAAGCTGCATACTGGGAACAAAACTAGGCACTTACATATGTCTATAGGTATGGTCATGTTTTTCAATGTTATGCCCTCTGAAGTATGTCTTATAGCAGTGGATATGCCCCTCTGCTCTGCTCTGGTGAGACCCCACCTGGAGTACTGCGTCCAGCTCTGGAGCCCTCAATGTAAGAAAGATATGGACCTATTGGAGCGGGTCCATAAGAGGGCCACGAAAATGATCAGAGGGATGGAACATCTCTCCTATGAAGAAAGGCTGAGGGAGCTGGGGTTGTTCAGCCTGGAGAAAAGAAGGCTCCAGGGATACCTTATTGCAGCCTTCCAGTACTTAAAGGGGGCTTATAAGAAAGACGGGGACAAACTTTTTAGCAGGGCCTGTTTACAAGGGGTAATGTTTTTAAACTAAAAGAGGGTAGATTTAGACTAGATATAAGGAAGAAATTTTTTACGCTGAGGGTGGTGAAAGACTGGCACAGGTTGCCCAGAGAGGTGGTGGATGCCCCATCCCTGGAAACATTCAAGGCCAGGCTGGATGGGGCTCTGAGCAACCTGGTCTAATTGAAGATGTCCCTGTTCATTGCAGGGGAGTTGAACTAGACCTTTAGAGGTCCCTTCCAACCCAAACTATTCTATGACTCTATGACAATCCACATTTCTTCCATTCAGGGGCAGATTATTTGTATACAGACAAGTAATTTTTCTTTCCATTCTTTTCTATTTGTCTTGACCCCCCATCCTTTCCTTCTTTTCCCCTTTTTTTTTTCTCCCCCCCTCCCACCCTCCCCAGCCCTTTCTGTACTGCTGCCAGGAATGATATGCTGGTAATATCATTAGAAATGTATTCAGTACTTGAAACAGAAAAGTAGTTGTTTGCAGTTGCCTTATCCACCACTTTGTCCACATGGTATTGGTAGTCCTGGCATGTAAAATGGGGTCCACTATATATATTCTTTGTTTGACCCTACTTAACATGTAACAAAGGTAACAGAAACCAGTCATCAGTGGCTATGCTTTGACTTACTGTAGAAAGCTTTTGAGTGCAACAAAAGGGTGATTTTGCTTACTGGGGTAAAGCAAGTAAGTGCTACCTGTATAAAAAGTGGGAATGTCTGAGGCAGGTGGCTGTGGTAGCACATTCACTCGTTCATACCTTTTTCCTCCCCTCTGTTGAAATGCAATGTGGTGCTCTGCACTTTCCCACAAAAATTAAGCTTACTGAGTATCTGCTTTTTCATTCAATTGGCACATTCACCTTTTTAATCTTTCTTTCAGGGTCCAGACTGTCATCATGAAAAAAAGTGGAAAATAATTACAGCTGTGCCAGATGTTTATAGCAGTGACAACTGAGGCTATATATTTATATAAACTGCTGATCTTTCAGAGGTAGCTATAGGGACTTGAAAAACCTGCAGACCCTAATCTGAAATCACTTCTTCCAGTGGGTTAGAAAAGAAAACAAAACAACTCATACAAACTTAAGAGGACTAATTTCCTTCCTATCTTAAATCTGTTCATTTTTATATTCAAGCACGAGAGTTACTGAGCAAAGCATTGTGCACAGAGGCACTCATAAATGTATAAATCCAACTGATGAGCACTTTAACATTTGTCCAAGAGCTGTTTTATAAGATAGTCCTATGGGAATTAATAATGTTGATGCAAAGCTAGAAAGCAAGGAGGAAAACCTCCCTCACAGAAGGAAGACAATGACCCTCACAGACTACTGACCATGTTACTTCTGTTATTTCCAATTCTCTGAAAGCAATTATGACCAGAAGCCTCATTTGTGGATGGCATCCCCAACACTGGAATCTTTGCAAACACAGATTCATCTCCTGCACATCACAGCTTAAAGTCTGTATACGGGACTAGAGGCTAGTGGTCTAATGGAAAAGAAAGAGGAATTATTTTGATAGCTAAAGTAGAGCTTTTCTCCTACCTCCTCCTACACACTTCCAACTCAGCCCACTCCTCTGGGCAATCCTGGAAGGAAAGGGCCAGGAAGGAGAGCATGGCTATCACATCTGACTCACCAAACTTACACCCCCTCCTCAGGGCAGCCCCATCCATGCCCTTGCAGGGAGCAAAGTCGACTTGTCCATGGAACTTCCCAGTTTGCTGAGCTGGCTGAGAAATTATCTGGGGTGGTACTGACATTTAAAAAAGTAGCAAGCCTCTACAATCCAGTCAAGAATCACCAGATGGCATAGACAATTTTTGACATCAGTGATGCCGCTAAGCCTTTGGATACTAAGCAGATTGTAGCCCCTCAAGATGTTCAGGCAATGTACATACAACCTTCTCACAAAATTCTCCTGAACATGCTTCTTAGCTTCTCCATTCAAAGAAGCACCCTAAGGAAAATTTTCTTGTATATCTAGGTCCTTTTAGGTAATACACAGGAATACAAAACATTAATTTGGACCAGTATGTCACAGACTCCTTTTGGAGACTCTGTTCACCACTCACCATCCGTCTTTCACCGTTGATTCCTCTCCACTGCTCAGCCCTCTTCATAATGTAGCTCAGCTCCTGATTGGAAATCTCTAGGTCCAATGGAACAAAGAATGTGCCTTCCTCACCATGAATGCGTCGAAATACATCCAACAGCCAACCTTCACTATGTAGCCTAAGGATAGAAATGACACACTTAGTTCTTCTTTGACAGGACTCTTCATGCAAAAAAGAAAAAGGTGTCTTACCCTTTTGTAGACTTCTAAAGCTTGGTCATGACTATATTCTCTACTTATGAGTAAGAAGCTTCTTTCCCACAAGTTCTCCAACATACAACCCTTCCTAGCCCTCTGGAGACTTTACAATACCTGAATCAAATCACATAAACTTAAGCTGCAATTTTGATATTGACTTCCCAAAAAGATCCTGATCTTCCTTTCCTTCAGAAATGTCCAATGTCTGTACTTAACATTGGGCTGGGTAACTAGTTCCAGTGCTTACATGGAGTACCTCAGTTAGGCATGAATGGAAGTCCTGCTGTGCCGGGGTTCAATAATGGGCAAACCACATCATATAGAAAGGAACTACTCACCATTTTTTTCAACCCAAGCCTGAAGTCTATACAATCTAAACTTCTCTTGATGTTAGAAAAGTTCATTTCATTTGTTGGCTTTGTTTTTCTATGACATTTCTGTGCTGTGGTAGGGAATTGAATAAGCCCTACGCAGTAAAATTTTCTACCACAAGAAAGGCTTGCTGTGTGGTATTTCTTAATGTAGGTGAAACCAAGAAATATTGTGAGGCTTTTGGAAAAACCTAATGTCACATTAGGTTTTTGAATTTTAGCCTTAAATGAACTTTAAAACTTCAAAACATTGCTGTTTAATTCAAATGGAACCTCTTCAAGTTCATCTCTTTCTCATTCTACTTTTATTCCAAAACCAGGGTTTCAGAAAATAAAGATCAGAAAATCTGGAACCTCAATCTTGGATATTGAACTGAGGTCTTTCCTTTTGTAGCCTCTTCCAAGCTAATACTTTATTACAATTCAGCCATTGCTTGGTGCCAGTCTCAGCTTTTCTGTCCTTCCCAGAGACTGGCTGGGGAGTCATGAGAAGCATGGGGATTGCTGTGTGGCACTGCAACCAACAACAAGCCCAGATTTCTGTGGGGCTGTACAGGTCCTTCATTTCTTGGCCGGTGAGAGAGAGAGCACAGGCACAACTCCTGTGACCCTCTGAACTCTCATCCTTCTCATGTACAGCAACACTAGACACAGTTCTTGTGGCTGATCCTTATTCTTGGGTCTTGTATTGGCGTGTATGTGCTAACCAATGTGTGTGCGGGTGGAGGGCAGTGGCCTGTTCAAGTACATCAGAATGAAGTTCACATTTGCACTAGCTCTACATCTCACCTTACAGTGCACACAGTAATTGCAGAGAAGCACACTCAATAAGCTGTTTAGTACAATTTTGCCCACAACTGAGATTTGGTGTGGAACAGAAATAAGGAGATGCACCAACAGACAGTTTTTCAACTTGACCTCAGGAGGAGCTTTAGCTCTCTCTTCAAAGGGGAATATGGATCTTAGGGTCAAGCTCTATATCCAAGAGTTTCTGTGATGGAGTAGCTATTCTGATACTGAAATCTGTCAGCCTGGCTCAACATCAGATTAGGGACTTATATCTCCCGCTTTGCTGCAAAGGCTCTCTCTGTACTTTTTTCCCCACCCTTCCTTTTTGAAACATTCCTTTTTGAAGCTGCAACCCTAAATTTGCTGTAGTTTCCAAGATGTCATTTTGGGATTCTCTTATCAAAAAAGGAGAGCAGCTGGAAGATAACCTAATCGAGATGTAGGTAGTCCTGGGAATATAAACAAACTTGCTACAAGAAATACAGAAAAAGCTCTAAAGTGTGAAATGCAAATCAGTGCTAAGGCAGAGTAGGATATTAAAGTATCTTAAAACACGCTACAGAAGAGAAGATTTTTTAAAAATAACTAATACCCTTCATGGAGTAATTTTCCAGATTCCACAGCATCTTCAAAGAAAAGTTAGTCTCTTAATCCCTGTCTCTACATTAGATATTCTTTCAACACAATAGATACATTTTTGTAAACATTGACTCATAACTTAGAATTATCTTGTGCTTAGTTGAAAAACTAGCAATCAAGTTGGTGAGCTTTCTGGCCTTCCGCTCATATTAAAACAATAATATTCTATGGTGTTCGTCTTTGAAATTCCAGGTCAGCAATTTAAATGACTTGCCACTTATCTTGCTAAACAAGAAAAAGACCTTGCCATTTATTTAAGCTCACTTAATGTAACATTCTTATTTCAAATGAAGTAAAATTTAATGCAGTTAAATTACTGTCTATTTGCTGCCATAAACATTTTCTATATGAAGATTTTAAGCTCATGGTTATAAACAATACAATTAACTTTGAATTAATTAAGAATCATGAAGCCTGTCTTCCAGCTTTGTTTCTTTTGCCCAAAAGTACTCAGCCTGCTCCTGTTACCTGCTTTAATTTCTTTTCTTTGGCACAAAAACTAATAAAACACTTCTTGTATCTTAACATGGCTTCTTATAAATATGACTAATAATTTCTATTGCTAATGCAATAAAGAGCAAAACAAAACTCAGATGCTATTTTCTAGAGATATGAGACCCAGTATAATACCTTACAAGTTCATTTATTCATCAGAAAGAACAGAAAACATTGAAATTATTTGCTATCCAAAGTCAGATAAAAAAAAAGGATTTCTGAAAAATTTACACAAACCAAAAATTGAAGGGTAGAGTGGTTTAAAACAATGTATTACATCTTTGCTTGAGCCTTTCTCATACTTTTTTGGAAAACAACTGTAAAAAATATATAAATAATGTTGCTGTTAACATTGAAAAATGTAGCTTTTCGAAGCTTTTCCCCCAAAAAAATTTCAATACCAGGAAATTTAGACTCTTTCCAGCAGACACGTTTAGTTGAGATGGGTCTGCATTTTCTCACTATACAGAAAACATTTCACCAACAAATTTCTGATTGTTTCTAATGTCTAGTGGAATTAAAATGAAGGAATTGTAACCAGTGCCATTTCATTTTTCCAAAAAGTAATTAGAATATCTCTCCATGCTAGATGTACTACAGACTCCCAAGACACCCAAGGGGAGCCAGATTTATTGAGGTATGTTATTTTATAAAGACACAAATAGATGCCTACTGCTGTTTATCCCCTGCCCATGATTTCATTCGCTTCCTGGTTGTTCAGCAGTGCTGCCGTGAAGCTTTCTAGCTGTGGCAGAAACAGACACTTCCCCTACTTTCTTTGGTGGCCTGGTGGGTTCACTGTTCTTATCCCTTTTTTATATTCTGCTGAACACTTCTGTTAAATGGCAAATTGCTGGGTAATTCTAACCAATGGCCAACAGTTGGACCACCAACTCCACCATCCAACAGCCAAAGTCTTCCCTGTGGACTGGGTGTCTTAGGACACAGAAAACACCCCTCAATATTTATATTGGTTTACCTTACAAAAGAAAGATGTTGTGGATGCCTGTGTAAAAAATATATGTTTTATGAGTCGAGCAACATTACATTTTAATGTCTTTGAGATATAATACCCAAGAAATATTCACACATATTCATACTACTGCCTTGGTTATAATACTATTTTCTCTTGAATACAAATGCTGTTATATCAATATTCAGGAAACAATGTTATGAATTGCAAAAATTCTTTCCTTAAAAACATTTTAAAGGTTTTAATGCTATCATTAGGGGACTGCCAATGTGCTGCTCAAGAGTCCTAGCCAGGTCCAAGGTTCCCACTGTGTTGGGCTGTGGACATACAAGGAAGAGAAAGTTGATCCAATTTCAGAAGCTCATAGTATAACTTTACTCTGCACAGACTCCAGTATTCAAAGTGTTTCTTTTTGTTATCAAGCAAAGAACTTCAAAGACCTTATGCACTCTAACAGATTTTGTTATCTTCCCTTTGCTTTTGTACTTTGCTATGAATCATTTTTAAAATGTGTCGTACTAAGACAACTTTTTTCCCCTAGTAACATTCTCTCCCCACCCCTTTATTGGAAAACATTATGGGAAAATTGATCCAGAAGGAAAGGAACCTTTGACGATCTTGCACCTGTTCCCCAGACAATGAAGATGTTGGTAATATTCTCATAAAAACCTGCCTTACAAATGTTTTAATTTAAATTAATTTTCCTGAGTAATAAACGACAGCAGCTAAAACTTACAAAGCTATTCAAAACTATTAAGCCAATGATTAAGAAGGCATTAACATCTCAAAAACTAATTAACTAGACTACCAGTACATTGGAGTTGTGTACAGCTTCCAGGAATGCAGGAGCTTTGAAATACTTTGCAGAAATTTAGATTGCCATTTATCTTTTTCTGCCTGCTGCAACAGTCTGTGGAAAGGAGACCGAGGGATGATTCTGTCGGATGGGGGGCGTACGGTGAGCTTTTCTGTTCTTACACCTGCCTGCATCTTGCCTTCGCGTATGGCTTTTTATTGGTGCTTGTCACAAATCCATGTTCATCATTGGGTGAATCGAAGGCCAGTACAAAATCCATACTGCATTATAGATGAGTCACTCAGAAAAAAGAAAATACACTTTTTCATTCAATATATTAGACAACCTATCATCTCATTCATTTCAGTGTCCCACACCTGTCCCTATTGACTGTACAGCTAATGGTGCAAGAAAGGTAGTTGGTCAAATTTCATGATGAACTGAATATTGATAATGGGCTAAGGTCGTGGAAAAATTATTTGGATAAAGTCATGTCATGCAGTGGGTTAAACCCTCAGTCACATCAGGTCAAAAATCCTGTATCATCAAAAGTCTGTAAGGCTCTGGGAGCCACTGCAGACTCAGAGAGATTTTGCATTTCACACCATATACACCATTCTGAATTTTTCCTATTTCTCACAAAAACCCTGCTTGGAAGACTAAAGGCAATGTCTTCCAAAGTACCTAAATGAAAGGTACACACACTTTAGAGCTTAAACCCTTGACACAGACACCATTGTCTGAAGCCAAAGGAACAGAGAGGCTCCTAGACTGTATGAAAAATCATTATATCAATTGTGTTCCTGTTGAGGAAATAAGTGGCTCCCTCTCTGACTCGCTGTGCCCACCAAATACCAGTGCATTAAAGTTAAGCAGGAGCTAACCCCTCCTTGACTGTCTGCAATTCTGGGCTCTGGATATGTGACATTGATATGTCTTTTCTGATGTCACTTTATTTTATCTTACAGGAGAAGGGGCTTGAGCCTAAGCTCCTAAGGGAATAATGAAATAAAAAGACATACCTTAAGAAGTACAGGTACAACACCGTTGATGAGATGATGAACAGGACTGTATAAAGCATCACAGTGATTAAGGCACCAGGAATCCCTGACTCCTCTGCTCTTACAAAGACCCAGTAGAGCTTTGCAGCATCAGCAATGGGTTTCTCTACACTGTTCCCAAGTCGCTGTCATGGGGAAAAAAATCAACATAAGAAAATGCCAAACCTGATTAGACTATTTACCTAGAGACACAAAAGAACCCGAATTTCTTTATAAGAAGGATTCAACTATAACTTGTGGGGCACACAACTTGAAACTTAGGAGTCTGCTACACAGAATTTGAAATTAACAATGAGATGTGAAATAAACTATTTTCTGGCTTATTTTAGTACAATTAAAATCTACCCTATAGAGGTGGCTTATTGAACAAAACCCATGTCACAGTGAAAATACTCAATGTGAGCTTCGTTAGCATATTTCAGAGGAAGTGGAAGGGGAAGAAGGCTGAAATTTTCTTTATTTCAATGACCAGAGAGGCATAATATTGAATGATTTATGCTCCTGTTTTTAGGAGTGCTGAGTGAGCAGAAAACACTTGTGCCAATGCATAATTCCAAACTGACCAGTCTCAAAATGACTTGCCCTTGTCACAAGAAAAATGCTGGTTCCTACCAAACTCAGCATGTTACATTATTTTGAACATGTGCACTTTGGAGGATGTATACACACCAATTCCTGATTTCAGATCGAGTCAGTGTTTGGTGCTACCGCTGGAAAACAAGAGTAACCATCATGTTATCTGAAATGCCAAATGGAAGTATCAGGGCATCTGCATGCGTTGCTAGCTGACACCTAGGATAGCTTTTCCACTAGCCTGGCAAACAACAGCATCAGTCAAAGAAGGTAGTGGATTCAAAAAGCTTCACTGAGAACCAATGAGGTGAGAAAAATGGAGAAAGCAACTGCAAGTAGATCAACAGGGGACACCAGCAGGGTTTTGTTAAGTTTTGCCCAAAGGGGTTGACCTTTTTTCAGTGCAAAAGAGACAAGTTCCCCTTTATGAAGCAGCATTTTAATTTATGTACATGCATTATTCAAGTCTGTCTGCAATGTTTTAAGTCAGAAAATCAGTTAGTCCCTTCACCCCCGACTCCTAGTGTCCAGTCAGTCCAGTTTGGGAAGCCACAAAGAACAGCCTATAACGTTGAATAACCAAAAAGCATCAGCATTATTTTATTATATAGCTCTCATTTAATTTCTTTCTTTCCTGAGAAGAAATAGACACAATGAGACCAATACCTCTGAAGGGATCTCACTGTACTGCACTCCCACTGCTGTGGTGGAATTAAAAATACCTCTTAACTGTACCAAGTAGCAACCGTAAGTTGTATCATTAATAGCTGCTCCAAAGGTACATGACTGTCGTATACCCTACTTAGTTATGCTATTAATAGTTTATGTTCAACTGCTCTGTAAACGAATAAACATGTATAATTATTTTCATTCTACTGAAGATGAAACAAATCTTTAGCATGCTAAATATTGGTAAGGAATTAATAGTTATAGAACAAAAATAGTAATTTAATTGGGAATAAGGTGGTTTGTGTATTTTTGCAAAGATTCACAAAGAATCCTGAAGGTTTCATAGCACTCTGTTTCATTATACTTCCAGTAAAACATGGAAAAAGGTTTTCCAAAAATCTATTATTTTCCTTTTTTTTCCATATCTGGTTCTTAAGAACTAGCTACTGTATTGACATATTATTGCCCTCTGCTGGATCGATTTAGAAGAATTCAGCTACATATCATGGGTCTTCTACTGCTCAGAGCTAAAATAAATTCCTCTCTTCACTTTTTTCTTTTTAAAGTGAGACAATGACAGCCATATCCCTATTAAATCATGTTAACACATTTTGCAAGGATGTGAAACTGCACCACCAAAAACATCCAGTATTTATCATTCAGAGAGGGAGTCTGTGACCTTTAGGCTTCAGGAAACCTGCACCTTCCTAAGCAACTTGCCTGGACTAATACTCAGGAAGAGTCAAAACTTTCTCCCCATTTTTTGCTACCTTTGCAGTGACATGCATAAGGAAGTAAAGACAATTACAAGTCCAATGATGAGCTGTACAAAGACTGAGATTCTTGAGTATATTTCTGTTCTCTCTCCACCCTTTGCAACACTGCCAAGTTTCTGTAATGGAAAATACAAGTCCCAGAAGAATGGTAATGGCATATAAAGACTAGTTACTAATTCAGATCTGTCAGTATTCTTTACAAAAAAGTTAAAATACATTATCTCCTGGTTCTGTTCTATCTCCCTGTTCTATCCTCTCTTCTTGCAAAAAAAAAAGCTGTCTGCCTCCACCACTTTCTTATCGAAGAGATTGTCTACCAAGGAAAATCCTCTGCACAGCAGTCACATCCTGACATGCCTCCAGAGAGGCAAAAGTCTGAATGGCAAGTAAGAATAAATTTCTCTCTTAACCAAGCAGTTCTTTCTGGCAAGGCAAAAATGGCATGGGGCAAGTGCATCTTTCTGTCCATTTTTTCTAACAAAGAGATTGTGTCAATCCTTCTGTGGTCCTCAAAGACATGATCCAAGAAAAGTGTCTTCATTTTAAATTGTTTCAATAGTATCTGTCAATATCTGTCTTGGGTACTTATCACACCACAGAGTGATGGTCATGTGAGCACTTCGCAGTCTCTTTTATGATGACACATATCCATGTGGCTAAAGAGATGTTACTCTCTGCATTTTACAAGCTACGGAGAGACCAAGTGACTGGTCCTGGGAAAGCTCTGGCAGAACTGGAACTAGAACTGCATTCTCCAAAATGATAGGAAAATTTCATACCCCTGGAACATCCTTCTACAAGCTGATAGTAAATCAAGCCTGGAATCACACGTTTGACAGAGTATCTTGAACTATGAGTTGAAACCCCCCAAACATGCAACTGGCTCTCTAGTCTTCCCTTAATAATAAAAAAAAACCCAGCTAGTAAACAGCGAAATCTTTGTCTCCAGGACTATCTGTCATCTTTCAAGTATTAAGGCCATTTAGGATACTAAAATATATTCTAGCACTAAAATAACTCATATTACCACAATACAACATTTTAAAAATACTTGATCTAAAATATATTGGCAAGTAAATCTGAAATAGCTGCTGAAAGAATGCCAGGAGAAAAAAAAAAATTCAAATGCAGTAACGAAAACACATGTAAGAGATATAGTTTCATTTTGGAAAGGATACACACAGTATATTGTGTAATATTTGAACAAATGAGTTTCTACCAAAGATAATCTTGGTGGGTAAAATTGCCAAATTTTCAGTATGAAGTACAGAGAGAGCTGTGCTTTTTTAACGTTGTAATGAAAAACTTAGTTACCTTATTCGTATCTCATGTTTCCTTTTGACCAAGCAAAGAAGCCCTATTTGAAATTGGTAATGAATGCAGTCTGACTAAAACTGAACACAATTCCACTGAAGTCAATGGCAATGATTTTCTCAATGCAAGTGTGGGAAAGACAAGGCAGACCTCAGCCTTTCCTCCAGTTTTTATGAATACACCAGTATTGGGGGAAGGGGGAAGACTTTTAAATATTTAAATATTTCTAGCCTGGATATTGGGGAAATACCCCTTTTTTTCCTAGGAAAACAATTCATCATCAGAATAATTACAATTAAAATTCAATTCTGTGCATGGTTTACACCATGAAATTTAAAAAAAACCCAGAAGTCTGTCCAAGTGAATATTACACTGTGTTGCCACATGCTTAAAATATTACAATTACCTCCCAAGTGAGCTCCAATTAAATTTCTTGAACAGCTGAAATTTTTAATTTTCAAAACCACTGCAATGGGAAACAGCATGTAAACAGTGGAAAATCACATTTTTAACAGGACTTCTTAAAAGCAGAGCACAGGTTAGTGGATGAGGAACCAAGAGACCTGAGAAAACCTGATCCACAGCAAGGATTGTGGATTACTACTTGTTCTGGAGCAAGCAACAGAAACAAAGATCTCTTTGAAAGGCAGACAAGGGCGGAAGAACAGCAATACCGCGCCCCCAGAAAAGCTTGCAGCACCCTGCACCCATCAAAAGGACCCCGTGTCACCTACACAGTGAGAGCCAAATCTGAAACGCATGTTCTGGGAGGCTGGGCATTACCTCAGACGTGATAAAAGCCCCCAGCCATCAAAGCACAGATGAGCTACACAGTGCAGACGTAGGCACGGATGAAGTCGAGAGTTTTGCTCTCATAATTTTACACGTGGTGAAGCTGTTTCCTTAAAGATGTCTGTCTTTCAATCTCAAAAGTCTTTTTAGGCGTGCCAGCAAGTTATACTACCTACATTGCATGTCAGAAAAGTGCACGATAACCTCTCCTTTTGGTTTTGCTATTTTTTCAGTTTGTCTGTTTCAGCACTTAGAAAAATCTGAAGCGCTAATAATCAGGACTACTCATTAACCCATCTCCATTAACATCCAAAATTGCAGTAATCCTTTTCAAAGCAGATGCAATCATTCCAGTGGTGGATTTACTTTCTTATTTCCGTATATGGCTTGTACAGTGCTTTTAATTTTATGCAGAAACACAGTGACTCCATTAGATGGGAATTTTGTTAATAAAAAGGTAATGTATAACATTATTATTTAATTTCTTTTTAACTTTCATGTTCCATTGCCAGGGGTGGAATTTCATATTTTTCAGTGATTCACTGAATAAAACACACTTCTACATCAAGGTCTCATGTCCAAGTTATTTTAAGTGACTTACCCCCAGGACTGAATCCACTATGAACACTGCCAAGGGGTCTAGTACTGTCCAGAGTCCCAGAGCTATGATAAACTTTGACAAGAAGGAAGGGAATGAGTCAAACAGCTGCTGACAGCCCCATCTGATCAGGACCATAAGAAGCAGCCCTGCGTTCAAGGTTAGGGGTCCCACCACAACCATGACCAACTCTTCACTGGTCTGCAGCAAGGAGTTCTGGTAGCACAGTTCGACAGTGTGAGGAAAAAGCTGCAATCTGTAAATAAGCAAAAGGAGAGAGTTTGTCTGTGCTCCTGGGCAAACCATTAAAAAAACATAGAATAATGCATACAGCACGTTGCGTTGTAAAGTTGCATCCCTATCTTGGTCACAATCCTCTGACCAAAAACTGTATGAAGACACGCAAAAAAATAAAATTTTTCTCTTCCTCCTGCCTCCGCGTCCTTTGATCCCCTCTGACTCTCAGTTTAGTGGATGCACATCCAGGCCCTTGGGACTGTGCAGGCAGGGCTATAGGAAGACATTGGCTCCCAGAAGCACCAATATGAGCACAGGCCCCAGGAGCTCACTCCTCTCTGCATACTGCAGCACCACTGGACACTGCACAAAGTGGAAAATGTGTCAAGGAAGACATAGCTTTTAGCATCCCTAAAGTGATGGAAAATGTCCCTCTCGCCACCATGGGATGGTGGGATTTGAAAAGCTCGCACAATGAGCAAATTTGCTGGCACTGTAGGAGGCAGGAACTGCATGGCATTGTGAGCTACACACAGATGCCGAAATTTAAGGCAAATATTTCCAGCAAATCGAAGTGGCTTAGATTTTGCTCCTGAGTAAGGGTGAAGTGGTTTGATTCTCACTTCAGTTTTGACTCGTGAGTGCTACCACTGTATTTGGCGGGACTAGAGTGTGGTCAACTCAATCTCTTTTGCGGGCATACAGCTACAGATTTGCATGCTGATCCAGGGCATCTTGGCTTGAAAACATTATCCTTTATCTAGCTGACTGCCTGGGACAGCTGTGATTAGTGGCTTCGAACATGACCACCTCTCTCTCACACGCTGCTTCCTTCTGTTGTGTTTCCTTTGCTTTCACAGACTCTTGATGCTTGGCCTTCCCAAAAGTTTTAATGCCAGCTGGCTAAGCCCGCCTCGTTTGTGCAAGGCCAGAAGTGAGAGATGGCTGGCTTTGCATTAAGCTCTAGAAGACCACCTTAACAATACCCAGCGCTGTCCAGAGTCTGCTCAGGCACCATGTTCAAATTTTAGTCAATAATCCCACTATCACAGCAGACACAGGTCACAGAGGTGCATGTTACTGGCTCCTACTGACTGATTCAGGTTTGCATGATGCTTTAAAGTGAAGAAAAGAAAAAAAAAAGTTTCTGTTGGAGAAATCTTCCCTTCCCTAAGCATGACTGATCTTTTTTGCTCTGTAAACCCATTCTCTACCCCATAGCAACATATGGAGAACCAGGTATGTATCGCCTTGTGGACTTGTTCTCCATCTTTTTTTTTTCATGTCAAGTAATGACAAGTAATGATTTTCCTGGAACTCTCTAGAGAGCTCTGAATCCCAAGCTAAAGTCAGTGTATCATATAGTTAAAATATGTCAACCCATTGTAGCTCTCATAGTAAAATTGTGTAGCCCTCATAGTAAAATTGATATATCAAAGTTAAATTATTCAAAGTATTTTACTCATAGATCAACTTTGGTAACATCAAACATGATTTAAATGCTTCTTCAGTTTTGTGCAATTCTTAGGCATTTTGAAATACTTGATCCAAAATGATAAATGATTCTTGTGGAAGATACCTAACCTGCTGGGTATCTCAGAGGGGGAGAGGTAGGCATGACACAAGATGTGCAAATGGACACATCCTGTTCTGGGTTGAAAATTTACATTATTATCACCTTCACCTTTCTGTTAGGGTCACATTTACATATCAGATCATCTGTAGTCTGGATGTGGTCCTTGTTCTCCTAGTCTCTGCACGGGCTTCTATTGGGGCCTGCATGCAGAGCCCTTAGCACGAGTCTTAGTCGTCAGTTCTCTTCATAATGCGAAAGAACCATTTTGCATCAAGCTATTTGTAGAAATACTCCGACAGAGAAAGAAGGCAGCAGGACTTACTTTGTAACAGGAACAGAGATGATCTGAAGGAAGAGCCATTGGCTCAAATAATGCAGGTAAAGTCTCACAAACCAAAGCAAAACTACCAGCAGCACGAGCAGCCAGAAGTCCCTGGAGCGCCAGTGTGCGGCTCCCAGCTCTGAGAAGGCTGCATATACTACGAAATGGAAACGCTCGACAACCCGCCTGGACAGTTTCACTTCAGCAGCAGAATGGCAGCTGGAAATATATGGAAATAAAACAAAGAGTCGCTCAGAAAAACATACAAGAAATAGCAGTCCCTAAAACACTGTAGAGTCCTGCTATACAGACAAATGTGGCACACACTCTGATTGTAAGTTTTGATTGACCGACGCATCTGACAGCAAAAAAAGGAACAGTTTTTTCCATTGCAGTCTAGATGATAGGTGGCTTCCTCCCAGAAATCATGCTGCTATTTTTATAAAGAAAACAACAAATCACATTTAAAACAAAGTTTTTAAAAGTCTTTTGCTTTCATTTTGATTTTAATTTTCTCACAAATTGCTCTCTGAGGAACACTTTATCACTTATTTTCCTTCTGAGAAAATGGTAAAAGAACTTGTCATATTTGTACTGAAAAGGTATTCATTTTATTGAAAAACAGCTTTCTGGCATTTGGATAAGACAGCTTCAGTCAAATATTTCAGTACACAATGTGGGCTAAAACTTCTCTTTAAACTACTTTCAAGTGAAAGAGAAAATAGAAAGGAACTTGCACTGTACAGTATTCTGCTTCTGAGTGCGGTGTGATTTGCCCTTTAAGCTAATTACTATACTGCTTCAAAGGAGGGGGGGGGGAAAAAAAAAAGAAATGAGATGCAGAGATGCAGCCTTGGCATTATGTTTCCAAGAAACTGGAGTCTCTCAGCTGATTCAAAGCTGAAAAGACAGTAGCTTCTTTGACCTTTTAAAACTTGTAACTGCTATGCCTATTTCCACTGATTTAAATGATAAGCAACTAAGATGCACAACTCTAGGACTAAATATGATGTCATCATGCTCAAACTGTTATTTATATTGATTAAGGCTTCTGAAAGTTCAGAAATAAAAAGATCTTTTTGTGGAAGAAAACATGCTGGGTTGTTAAAGTGTAGCATATGACTGGAGAAGAAGCGACAGCAATACTTGCACTGTATTTCATACTCTTAAAGCATTTTCCTGCCTACACATATGAATATCTTGAATAGCTGTGTACATTTCTTTCTCCAGCAGTCACAAAGAGAACTGCAAATAGCAACGGAGAAACTTAAAAGGATTCTGCATTTGGTCTAGGTTTGAATGAGCAGGAGAAATAAAAATCCCAAACTTGCCAACCATAGGTCTGGATTTTGAGACCAGACTTAGGTCTGGATTTTGGGACCAGTCTTAGCATCACGTTACTCCTGACCCTCAGTGTTGAGCAAGATGCCGGTGTAGGAGAAGGCATGCTGTCAGCTAGCACCTTTTCTCATGAGAAGGCTCAAGCTTTAGTTACCTGGTTGATTGAAGAACAGGAGGAGAAGTTGTCAGGGACACACCACAAAAAATAGGTTTTGGGTCACAAGAAGGCCTCAAGTACAAATCACCAAAACTTCTCACAGAAGGATCTGTTGGGCTGAGACAGGGGATCCTTGCAGTGACTATAGGTTGATCTGTCAGGGGTTTTGAAGGGTTTTTTGAGACACTACAGTCCACTTTTGCTTATATCCTAATCAGTCACAAAGTCCTACTTTACAGACTTAGGGCCACATCATTAATCACCTTCCTCATATTGTAATTATTTACCCACAGCAGCCTACAGGAACATTACAACAAATTTCATTAACATTATGAAATCATAGTCTAGGCTTGTGTGAGAAAAAGAAAAAGAAAGTTGTAAAATAAGAAATATAATTGGCTGTGGTATCATACTACAAAAACCATGGCATTCTGGATGTTCTGAACTCTGAAGCTAGATTTTACTACATTTCCTTTTATATAAAGAAATTTTTGTCATCTTTAATAATTTCCATCAGAATCTACTCTTAAGGTATTCACTCCTTGAGGAGAGTTAATAGGGTAGGATTAGCTACGCAGTTATTTTAGTTAGACCAAATAGTTTGTTGTTTGTGCAAAAAAAGAAAAAAACATAAATAAAAAAGAAAAGAAAAAAGAATACTATTTTAGCTCATAATTCTCTTCTCATCCTTCATCAAACAAGCAGAATTACACAGATGTCCTACCCAGCCTCGCCCATGTCAGAAATCCACATCCTATAGGGATCACTGCCAATCTTCACCCCTGTGCTGAGAGCATGAGTAACCATGTATTTTCCACAAAAATCTGGACTGAGATCACCTCCTCATTTCATGTAAGAGTCATTTACTACTAGATTATTTGGGCTCAGTTTACTAAATGAAGCTACCTCTGAACAAGCAACACCAGAGTGACATGTTCAATATACCACCTGTAAAATGTTTCAAGACATAAATCCTTCTTCCAACACAACACACAGATTGAGAAGGAGGGCGCACAGCTTAGAATGCTGAAAATACCGAGTCCTTTTTCATTCACAGCTGTCTTGAGCACCGGAAACACTGAGAAACGTCAGTGACCAAAATGCTGGGTTGGGAAGGTGAGGTAACCTCCTAATGGAGGCAGGATTCTGGTGATGCAATCAGCGCTTTCACAGGAGTTTCATGAATACACTGACTCCAGCTCTGTAACTCATGTGTGGAAGCTGCTTGCGTAAGCACTGTGAGCACACGATACAAAGTGAGGTTATCAAACCTCCCTAAGATTTAGGCAGCAATGAAAATATTCAACCTGTGCCTTCATCGCTCCGTTGCTCCCCAGTCTACTTGCAGTTCCAAGAGGTCAAAATAGAGCTGATGCCTCCACCTGTGAGCTATCAAGAAAGTTGCACTTTTTTAGGACATGAAGATGAAAAAGAGCAGAACGGAGGTCTGTGCATTGTCACCGCTGCTGAGACACTAGCTCTCAGCCACAGGAATCCACGTACTCAACAAACTTCCAAAGTCAAGTAGAGAAATTCAGAGCACGTTCGCTGTTATCAAACCCTGGACACCTTCCACTGGCAAATGACCCCGCTTAAACCAGCAGGACAACATCTGTGATCTCTTTACTTTGGTGCATCTTTCCCCTGAAAAAAGCAATAGCAGCCCAGAAACTCCACAGAAAGCCAAGCTTGCTGGAAGTCAAAGAAATCAAGAAAAATATGTCCATTAGGTAAAACCAAACAAGATTCATTTTGTTTTTTGAAGACCATTTTTTCTTTAAAAGACTTCATGATTTTCATCACACACCTTGACCATTGTTTCCAGCTTTCAAATGGAAATTAAAGTCCTCCTTACTGCTTAACTTGTCAGACAGTCCAGATTCTGAGTGTCACTTCTGTACTAGCTTGTACTTCCCTGTGACTGTGTAACACCTTGACATGAACATCATCAGCCAGTGATAGAAATTGGTGGCACATATAGCATATCCAGTGACTCAGTGAGGGTCCCAACCCACAACTGGAATCTCTTCATTTCCTTTAAAACAAATTCAGTGGGCCCCAACTTACTACTTGTAAGTTACAGCGAACTATTCCTGAGTACTCATTAACCATGGTACAAGGCTGTTTACCGGTTGTCACTTCAAAACGCTGGGCTTAAATGATATCTCTTATTGACTTTTTTGAAGAATGAAGGAAGGAGGAGGCAGAAACACGAAATGAAATGCACCAAACAAGTGGAAACAGTCCCTTTAAATATTTTTAGCTGGTGTTACTAGTGAAAGCTCGTGGGTGGAGTGACAGTGCTGGCAGATACAGTTTTCAGAAGAGATTTATATAAAGTTGCTCTAGGGCAGAGAGCATGAGTATTACCTTTCAAAAACAAATCAACCCCTCCACCCACAAAACCCCCAAATTTCAACCCTTGGGTGAAAACTATATAAAGCTCCAAATGAGAAGCCACTTGAGCAATGGATTTATCCATGATTCCTTGGATTACTGGTAAGTAATTTGGCTGAATGTTTCTGTTCTAGGGCATTAGTTTTGCATTTTTCTTTGCAAAATGCTGCAGTAACAAATAGCAGAGACCGAATTACCATAAAAGCAGGTCAATTATTTCAATGGAAATTGTTCAGAAGGAAAGAAACGATACGCAGATTCTCTTAAGCTACACTTGATGATGATGACAGAAAAGTAATGGCTGATAGAAGGCAGTGTGTACTGTTGGGTGACAGCTTTGCTGCTGACAAACTACGGCGAACATTTGTATAATGCACTCCAAGACTGGCACTTACAGCTGACAGCGGGGGTAGATTCTCAGCCGATGCAACCCTGCTTGTTCCAGAGCTACATTGGTGTATACCAGCTGAGGTATTTAGGATCTAGTCCTGAAGGTATCTATTATTTACATTGTATAAAATAAGGCAAAATAAATGTTTTATGTTACCCATACAGCCAGAGAATTTTTAAAAAACAAATGCAGACATGAATGACTTTATGCAAATTACTTTCAGGCAACCACAGTCCTCACAGCCCAAGAATCTGTGCAAAGGACTTACTCAGTTCACAAATAAAAAAGACCCCTCCCCATCATCACCATCAATGGTAGGTATTTAAAACTTAACCCTAAAATCCTTTATGGCTTATCAACAGTAACAAAGATGCAGGAAATGCTGCCCAGTGTTACTACAATGAAATGCTGTCACTTTCAGTGGAAAAGCACACCTGTATCTGAAGGTACAGCTAAAAATACTACACTAATACATGTAGCCCTTAAAATGGAAACCAGTTAACAGCACCACTGATGAAGCATGAGGCAGAAAGGAATCCAGTTCATTCCACTGTGCACAACATAAACATATATTTAAAACATATAATTTTATTATCATTAGAAGGATTTTATTATTATTCCTTCTGCATAATATTTTTCCTTTATAGATCTCATACTGCATTACAAAGAGATAGTCTTTATCCCAGGCTGTATGGTGATGATACAAATGACTTTGCCCAATAAGCCAAAGGCAGAGCTGTGAACTGAGCTCTGTTGAGTTACAGTCCATTATTCTATCCACTGGATTCCTAATAAAATATTACTTTTTTGTTTATTTGTATGCAAAGTGGCTATAACCAGGGAGAACATTTGCTAAGGATGAAGACACTGCTTTTTCTCATCCCTTTCTAGGACACACCTATGCTTCATATTCCTCAGTTTGCGAACACCAAGAAAGCAGGTACCTCAAACAGTCACAGGGCCTATCTGCTGTAAGAGAGGTGGCAAAAGACCTGAGGGGACAGTAGGTAATTCCTTAACATACAAAAGCTTATAGGAGAACTTGTTCTACAGCTTGCTGAAAAATCCAAAATCATGGTACAGAAGAAATGCTGGAAATCATGACAGGTTTATTTTTCAGGTGCACCTGTGGTGGAAAAAAGAAACTGCCAGAAGCATGCAAAATCCAAAAACTCTGAAGGCTTTAGGAATTGAACATCCTTGCAAAGCAGGAAAAATAGTCAGCCAATAACTGCAATAATTGTTTTGGGTTGCTGCAAAGAACACGACACAGGTACGTGAGTGCACCTGGGGCACCCACACTGCCCCACCAGGCTGGGGAGGCGGAGGGCAATGGTGGCCGATTTCCTTCCAAGGTCCAGGCTGTGCCAGCTCACAAGCAGCTGGCCAGCAGGCAGCAAGCTCTGGATCAGCAACAGCCCAGGTGTGTTTGCATCACATGCATAGCCAGGAGCCAGAAGAAACACATCAGTTGAACTTTTTCTGCAACCCACTCACGCCAAGAAGCTTACGGGGATATACGCTGGCACAGCTGTTGCCTTGGAGGGACCACTGTGTTCCATACTGGGGGATGGACACTGTGGGTCAGCGGGCCAAGACGTGTTCATTAAAGAGGAAGGGAAGGAAGTGCTGACAGCTTGATATACCCCTGGATACATCTGTGCTAGGCCCAAAATGGTGGACACTCAGCTCTCACTGTAAAAGAGTTTATGACAACAGAAGATTGGCAAACAACAGCAGACTCCTGTCCTCATCAGTCCCTTTACGCAATGGTGTAAGGCTGGCAGGGGAGCCCATCTTCTGCCTTTAACTAACTAAGAATTTCCTGAGGGAATTAACTGAGAAATTCGCAAGGCAAGATTTCTTACCAAGCTGAGGAAGGAAGCATAGGAGGAAGGAGGAATCACAAAATTTAAGCGGAGTGGCAATAGTGCTGGAAGATAGTGTGGTTCCTTGTAGAGAGCTGGCAGAGCTTTACACATTTCAGCTTTGAGCAGCATCTGACAATGACAAAGCAAAAATGACAAAAAACAAATTATTATCGTCATGGCTGCAGTTTAGGTAGGCAACTAAAACTTTGCCTATTTCATGCTTAACTGCATTTTCATGAGCCTATTGGCTTGGCAAAACAATCTGGAAACCTTACAAGAACAGACTTTGTTAAAATATTCCAGTCTGTCTGGTTCCAGCTCTGGATGGGAACAAACATGAAACGAGGAAACTCGAGTGCAGCTTTCAGAACTTTTAAGAAGCTCTGCTTTATATTTCATTCTAGAAAGGAACAAAAGTTTGTAGACAGTCTCTGTTGTTCATCCTCGTGACATGACAAGGCCAGTCAAGAAGCAAAAGAAAGCAGGTAACTCCTCCCCTACTCCTTGCCTTCTGACTGCTTTAAGTAAATAAGAAGACAATGAATGAATGAGAAAAATATATAACCCATATAGGGAAGGATGTGAGCGGTATAGATTTTACAAACACAGCATGATCTGTAAAGCTGTTCTACCAGTAAGTAAGCACGAATGCTCAACCTTGTGCATGAGCAATAAAACAAAGAGTTTAGGACCTGGAGAAGAACCAGATGTACTCAGGGCAACCAGAGTAATAAATACACCTTCAAGGTCATCTCAGTTAAAAAGAAAAAGAAAAGGAAGAAAAGGAAAAAGGAAAAAAAGGAAAGGAAAGGAAAGGAAAGGAAAGGAAAGGAAAGGAAAGGAAAGGAAAGGGAAAGGGAAAGGGAAAGGGAGGGAAAGGGAAAGGGAAAGGGAAAGGGAAAGGGAAAGGGAAAGGGAAAGGGAAAGGGAAAGGGAAAGGGAAAGGGAAAGGGAAAGGGAAAGGGAAAGGGAAAGGGAAAGGGAAAGGGAAAGGGAAAGGGAAAGGGAAAGGGAAAGGGAAAGGGAAAGGGAAAGGGAAAGGGAAAGGGAAAGGGAAAGGGAAAGGGAAAGGGAAAGGGAAAGGGAAAGGGAAAGGGAAAGGGAAAGGGAAAGGGAAGGAAAAACTAAAGGAGGAGAGATGTTAGGCCTAAAACATCCATAGAAGTTCAGGTGAATCAAGATAAAAAACTTTACATTTATGTTAATAGTAACAGCATACCCTACCCAGGAGAAAAAGAAATACATATGTATGTAGGTAGTCCTCCTGCTTAAGCTAAGAGAGTCCCCTGTACCTGATGTGTGGAACCGTTTCCACCTTGACACAGAAAACATCCTCAAGGACATTTGCTCTGTCTGGAGGAAAAATGTAATCTTCTTCCTGACCAAATACATATCTAATTCTGAGAGCCACTAAACACTCAAGCACCATCTGCGAGCTGTGCATTCATCTGTAACACACCAATTTAGCTGGCAGGCCATTGGGAAACAAGACTCTGAAGTTGCCAAGTTAAAATGGCAATCCAGTACCAGCCGAAACTCTACCAAGCAAACAGGTGAGGTTTCCAGTGAATGTTGTAGCAGAGAGCAATGAAGCTTCAAAATAAGAAACAGCCTTGTGGTGTGGAGAAAAAAAAAAAAGAAGAAAAAAAAGGCACGGCTTTGATCTTTTCCATCCTGTACTTAATTAGCAGCAGCATGACACTAGGAGCGTGGGTCTGTACAGCTGGAGTCAAACAGCTACCTTCCTTCAGTGAGAACTGACAGACTCATGGCTGCTGTGGACAGAGAGGGCAGGAGACGCGTTGCCCAGGATGGTCCCACATTTCAGAAGGACCTCTTTCTGGCTGGCTGCACAGTGATGAAACTTCATCTTATACAAACACAGACAAGCCACGAGTCAAAGCCCTTTGACTTCTTCAGTTGTATCTGTTTTTCACAGCAACAGGCTGAAAC